GCAGAGAACGGGATTACTCACTTGTCTGAACTCAGTGTTTCCTTGGTACATACCAATCGACTGATAAACCCGGGCGCGGAAACGAATTAGACGCGTCGAAAACTAGGTAGACTTGAGTGCGTCGTCAGCCACAACTGGCGAGTATATACTTCTAATACCGAAATCCTTAGAGTCCGGTATCCAAAGTATATCGCAATCGCAAATTTCTCGACGAGACTAGGATTTATCGAGCCCCAAGACAGATTGAAGTTAGCGTAGAACAGAGCCGACCGTCGGAAAGTCATAACCACCACAACGGGTATCATCCTACGTTCCCCTTCGGTAAGTCGAGGCAACTATATCCGGTCAAAGGGCATCAGTGCCTTGCAAAACATATGGGGTTAGGCATGCTTACGAGTGACTTCTGCCATCTCCTAACTATTGTCAGCCGCAGCAGCGGTACCGTTTCGATGGACGGGGTAGAGAGAGTGGGTACGGCTATACGGTACAAAGCGTCGATGTCAAATCATACCCCTTTTTGTGAATGCGCATTGGAAAGCAATAGAATTGACGTGCCACTTCTGTGATCCGCCCTTGTGGCGCAGCACATTGTGGAATATAAGTTCCTATAATGGAAGAGGCTTTGCATTTCCTAACGGCTGGAAGATGAAAGAAGGGATTACTCATGGATTACTGCTCCTTCTCAGCGGCTGCCTTCCCTGACTGGTCCCTCGCGAGATGGGGCGACTCAATCTCGAGCTCGGCTTGCATCCTACGTTGTTTCCTCGACCAAAGAGATGGCTTCGAATGACATAGGAGTTTTGCAACCGGTCTATCCGAGCTCAGATCGGCTCTCCGCGTCAGAATTCACGAACGTGCTTATTGGTGACTAGTGCGAGATGGGCTGAGCTCTTGCGAGACGTCGTGGAACCCTGGCAAAAAAATTGAGTCATCTATAACGGCACCAATTGAGATGTATAGGCTATCCTTCCCACACTCTGCAAGTGCACCCCCGCGAGTCGGAATACGGAGAAAAATCGCCGTAGTCCAATAATCCAAAGGGTCTCTTGTCCAAGCTTGAACACCTAAATCGCTTCGCTCCCTACCTTACATCTTCATCCCATTCATACCCCATGCTCGTGCGACCCTTCCCTCGGAATCGCCGTTTGGATTTGAGTCGGTCTCAGTCCCCCTCAGCTCCGTTTGATCAGTCACAGTGCAGCTGAGCCACTGCGTCCCTCAATCCGAATGCACCCGTAAGTTATCCGAGTTCTGTCTCTTCGACGGCTCCAACTTCTGATGAACGCTCAGGAAGACTTTCGGTCTACTCGCATCCCGACCTACCGGTACATCCTGAACGTTGAACCTCAACCTAGCCTGAGTGTCCGACAGAGGTGGATCAAAGGGCGATCCAAGAGCTTGGATGCTTATATGCATCATCATATCAACCAAGGGGCTCATGCTGAACAGGATGATTGTGACTGGTCCACGGACTGAAACCGTTCCGGTGCCCATGAATAGTGTCGCTTGAGATCGGTTTGTTTTCGTAATGAGGAAAAAGACGGCTCGGACAACATGACGGAATTTCTCGTGACTGAGGGGCTTGCTCTACACGAAAGGTCGGCTGAACGATGCCGAATGTCAGTGCCGGAGGTGCAAGACTTTGTGCACTGAATGGGAGTCGTTGAGTGTCTTGCATAACTCGTTCAAACCCTAAATTCGGATAAGTATAATCATGTAAACCAAGCTGACGGGCCGGACATAAGCATGAGCGCGAAAAACATGCAAAATTTTGTTCTGCAGAAGAACAGCATGTCGGCGTTGATCCTGAGTAAACGTTCAACGTCCCTGGAATGTGCTCTTTCTTCGCCAGCAAAGTATTCGGGGAGGAATTGACGTAGTAATGTTGAGCTTCTGTAGATCTTCTTTCTCTTCTTGAGCTGGGCGACAGTTGAATGCGTGAGGTCTTGAAAGCTCAGCGTGAAGAAGATCGGGAAAAATACAGTACACGTACTTGCATTATCTAACCTCCTAAACCTCGAGATACAAATGTATTTGATCCGTTTGTCGTTTGAGAGTTGGGCTGGCGCCATAAAATTCATAAAAGCGAGGTATTGACAAGAAAGGAGGCTAACGCTGATCTGAGGTTGTTAGACGGGGATGATGAAACCGGATTCTAGCAAAACCAACCCGAACCCGGGCAGAGATTGACCGACGCAACCTACGTCTAGCCAATAAGAGTAACAATGACTTAGCCTTACCTTCTACCGATGAGACACTTATCAACTGGAACCACCTACATTTAGATCCCACCACGAGATGCTTTGTAGCTCGACAAAAATGAGACAGAACCCAGAACAACACATCGAGAGAATGCAGCAAAACCAGGGAGTTGATTCACATGAACCCATTCTTCGTGCGAGGTTAATCTGTGGACGGACATGGTGGCCAAGTCGACGTGGAGAGTTCGCTCACTAACTGACATGATGGCAAGAGGAAAAGAAGGGCGATTACCACATTGTACTCGGCGTCGTTGGCTACTCGGCATTTGATCGGCGTTCGGACCTGAAATGCCGATGTTCACCTCCCCCTTAAAGGGCCGATCAACTGTACAAATACTTCACTCGATTTCTGACTCTTCAAAAGAGTACTGATAAGTCGCCGACGCAGCCTCGACACCCCATTCACGAGCTTCCAACAGACCTTCTCGTCTTCGTGTTCATATTTAGTATTGAGGACATCAGTGCTCGAGCTCACGTCCAGTATGAGACCTTCTCTAATGCAGTCACTTTGGGAAGTGTCTGTTACACCAGTACTATGGGCCACCATATCCGTGGGCTCCGTACATAAACCCAATTTTGAGCGCTACAACAACCACCTCCAACGCGCCCACCGCTGCCTCATCGATCTTGATATCCAACTTGAGGACCGCTCTCCCTAGCTCCTAGTCATTTCTCAGCTTTTTGCTCCCTATGCCACTCAGATCCGAGCCCTCGCAGCCCCCTATATATCAGGGGATGTTCTCTGGACGCTTATGGGACTAACTCGGATCGACCCAGGCTGCGTTTTCCGATGGAGTCGTTGTCCTTTTAGAATAGCGGGGAACTAATGAGTCACGAATGTTTGAGCAGGCCGCTCCGTGGGTTGAGTCTACCCAACTTACGGAATTTTACTTCGTTCGGCAATATCTATGCATTCCAGAACAATACGTTTGCCCTGCCATGGCACCAAGTCACCAATATCCAATTCGCCTTGACAAGCGTGGACAATGCTCTCTTCCATCTCTCCTTCCCCTTGCTGACTTCTCTCGATGCGAGACTGAATATTCATGATTCCGCAAGGAGTGAGCTAGCGCTATATTACAAATGTTCATCTGACCACACTCAAGATTTACTGGTCCGATTCCCTCACCCTAAAGCATTTCTTATCACATTTCTCCTGCTCGAAAGTCGTCTATCCTTCAGCTGACACACCGACCTCTCCGCTCCACCTGAGGCCAGCGAAGCAATCGCATCCTGTCTGATAAATTCGTAGTGTTCCAAGACACCTACGGATCTGACATTCACCACATACAATCCTTTTAACCCTTGATACTTGTCGACATCCTTCGCGTTACCCCGAGGCTCACGCATTTGACCCTAGAGGAAAAGAAGAGAGAGCTGTGGGATCATTTTCCTGCCTCCTTGGGGTATACCGACTATTCACCATTCGCTTCGGAACAAGTGGGTTTGATACCCGAGCTAAAGATTCTTCGAGTCTTTGTGGATAGGTTCTGGTACGGGGAGCAGGAGAACAGATTGCTTAGGTTGTTTGATGGGATAATTTATGTGCGATCCAACTCTGCAGTCGCGCGGCCGCTCGAGTCTGCATTCCTCAAACGACGTTCGGTATGCCCACCATTCGAAGGGTTGGATGATCTCAATTCGCTAAAAGAAATAGAACGAGCCGGGGACACTGTCGTAAGGGTTGTGTTTGGGTCGATGACAGTGGTTGGGTATATGGTTTTGGAGGATGTCGAATTCTCGGAGAGAACGACACTGAGGTGGGTGCGGAGGACACTCTCTGGCTTTTCCGGGAGAATTGCGCATACCAGCTTGCCGTCCAAGGCTTGACCTCATTGACAATCATATTTGGTCGCCGAGGACCCCGGGGGACAAACAATCCGGTGATAGCCCATGCTTCGCCGTCAACTTTGGAAGCCCCCATTGAATCACCTTCTTCTTCAACGCTATCCGCCCGCCTAGCTCAGCCGGATAGAGCGTCAGACTCTTATGGCAGATACATCCATTTTAGGTAATCTGAAGGCGGCGAGTTGGTGGGCTATACACTCTCACGGGATGTTTTTCGTTTCTTCAGCCATGAGTCTTCGTTCCACGAGAAGCTATCACTCTCAGCTCGGCATGTCACCGTGGTATTTACGAGAAAATCAGTCCATCAAACTCTGAATCGAAAGGACTCAACACTCAAATACTCGCCGGATGCATCTCAGTCTTGAAATAGATCAGGTGAATCATCGATTTCCGTTACAGGGAACCGAACCCTAGGTTATTGCGCTTGTTTTCAAACTCGGTCGAATCATGAGAGGCAAT